TATCAGACATGGCCACCCTTATGTGAGTATGGAATTCAAGGCAATCCTGGCCTACTAAAGACCAGTTTGCAAGATAATTAAGTCTGGCCTGAAATTTTTGGCCACATACATTATTCTACTTCTGCAAAGCACAACTAACCTTGGCATTTAATATATATATATATATATATATATATATATATATATATATATATGATCTCAGCAAAGTGTGGCACATGCTTTAACACCTGGGGCTCTGGATTCAGAGGCAAACATTTCTCTGAGCTTGAAGCCAGCCTGCCCTATTCAGTAACTACAGTTTGATCAATGATACATACTGAGACTATTTCAAAGAATCTAAAAAAACAAAGGTCAGGCATGCTGGTGTAAGCCTTCATTCCCAGCACTTGGGAGTCAGAGACAGTAGAATCTGTCTGTCAGTTCAAGGTCAGCCTGGTCTACATAGTAACTTCTAGGACAGCCAGGGCTACATAGAAAAAATGTGAGGGAAAAAAAAGAAGCATAACCAAATCAAAACAAGGTCTTTTATCATTCCATCAATATATTAAAGTTCTTTATTATTTAACCTACAAGGATCTTTAAAATTCCAGTGTCTCCACTGGATTTGATGAAGATTCAAAATGATTTTTCTAAACCACTAATATTAAATTCAAAAATATTTTATGCATCTTCTCCTCATGGTAACCAAAGTCATCAAAGTATTATACTTTGCAAATATTTCTATTATGGCTATCAGAACAGACTAGTTTTATGACTTTTCAGAAAATGGTGTTATCTCATACAAATAAAAAATAACAATTTGAACAAAATATTCAGTCCTGTATAAATTTATTCATCACATATATCTTAAGGGTTCTCTAAATACTAACACTGATTTTTTAATAAGTTTTTTGTGGGTGTATGTGTTTGTGTGTGTGGTATGTGTGTATGGATATGTGTGATGTGTGTATATTTATGTTTGTATGTTTGTGTGTACCTTTGTGTTTCTTTGCATTTGTGTTTGTATATATGTTGGTGTTTGTGTGTGTGTTTGAGTGTGTGTGTATTTGTGTGGGGTGTGTGTTTTTATGTGTGTGGATTTGTGTGTATGTTATGTGTGCATTTGTGTGTGTGTGTGTGTGTGAGAGAGAGAGAGAGAGAGAGAGAGAGAGAGAGAGAGAGATGTGTGAGATGTGTCTGTTTGATGTGTGAGTGCAGGTATATGCTATACCTTATGAGGACTGGAATGGAGATCTTTCAGGACTTGTTTTCTTTCTAGCATGGGTTCCCAAGAACAAGCATATTGTGCTTGTATAGCAACATGCTTTGACCTGGGAGTCATCTCAAAATTTCACAAACACATGTAAATAAACTTTATAAAATAATTGCTGGCACCCAAAGTCTGTGTAAATATATTGTCTTGTGTGACTGTTTATCAAACATACAAGAGCTAATTCAAGTTTACTACTGAACTATCTATCCTAGGTCAATTTCACGAGTTGGAGGATTTTAGTGCTTAAAACAATTTTATCTAAAGCAACAGAGGCTACAAATACCCAAATTCACTATATCCACTGGTCTATGCAGTTGCTAACACAAGGATGGCTGGAGAAAGACCACAACAAACCACCAGGCTGGGAATATATCAGATAGTGCAAGGGGAGTGTCTAGGGGTACGCAACAGTCTCAGGATTGGTGTGCTTCCAGGCTTGGGCAACCTGTCCTGTATTGATTGGTCAACTGGTTGTTATGGCCCATAGGCCCTCCCAGGGTGGTTGCTATGCTCTGCACTTGTGCACTTGCACATAAAGCACACCCAGAGCCATAAAGCACAGCTCTGCCAGATAACTTCTGATTGGTTCCTTGCTATTAACCAGGACAGGAGGGGAAAGGTCAGGTGAGCACATTTTAGCCTGTCATGGCTGCTAAAACAGGGGGCTGGTCCCCCATTCCCCTTCTAAAAGTACCAGTGAGTGACAGGACTCAAAAACCCTTGAACCTCAAAATGGCATGAGCTGAGCAAAACTTTAACTACATCACTCTGGTTCCTGTATGGGAAATAACTTTTACAAACATGTATAGTCTCTATGGAAGACAAAATGGCAGTTGCTCAGAAAATTAGGAATAGACCTATGCCAAGATGCCCTTATACCACTCTTGGCATAGACCCAAAGGATGCTCCTACCACAAGGACACCTGCTCAACTATGTACATAGCAGCTATATTCCTAATAGCCAGAAACTGGAAATAACCTAGATGTTACTCAACCAAAGAATGGATAAAGAAAATGTGGTACACTGATACAATGGAGTATTACTAAGTTATTAAAACAAGGACAACATAAAACTTGCAGACAAATGGATAGAACTAGGGCAAAAAAATCATCCCGAGTGAAGTAACCTAGACCCAAAATGGCAAACATGGTATGAACTCACTTAATAAGCAGATACTAGCTGTAAAGGATATTCATGCTACAATCCACAGACCCAAGGAGGGCTCAAGAGGGAATACATGGACCTCCATAGAAATAGGAAATGGAATAGATTTTCTGGATAGACTGGGTGGGGATGGGAACAGGACAGAGCAGGCTATGAGGAGGGATGGAGACAGAGAGTATAGGGAAAGACTACTGGAATTGGGGGACATTTGGGTGTTGGTATGAAAACCTAGTGCAGCCTCTGTTGTATAGCTCTCACTGGCTGAACCACTTTCCTTGCTAACTCTAAAAGAAGCAGTAAACCTAGCTCTTCAGATATTCCTTAGATTCTATGGAAATGACCCTAGAAAGGACTCCTAAAATGGGGAGTGAGGAGCCTGAACAGCTTTCTATAACCAGACACGGCTCTCAGTACTGGGACTGGAACACCAACACAGACACAAAACCTTTGACCTGCAATCAGTCCTACTTGCACGATGCTGGATTAATGGTGGCTCAGAAACTTTGAAAATGGACAATCAATGCTCTAAATGCAGGCCCATTCTATGCAAGAGAGCCCATGCCAAACACTGCTTGGATGTCCAAGAACCTGAAGCTTCATAGAAGTCCCCCATTTCCTTCCACTGTCCCCTGGACGTAGTATACAAGATACTATTCTTCTTAAGAAGCTTACTTGGCATGAGACAGCTTGTGCAAGACCTCTCCACCCCAGCTTTCTACCTCTATTTTTCCTGTCTTTCTCATTCTCTGGCACTTTCACCTCGCACCCAGTCACTGAAGAATGGCCTGTTGTATCAGGTCACTGGTGTACTTCAGAAATAATTCTGATAAAATCTTTACTGTGTCAGTCCCCCATCTGCCTAAGTGTCTAGATTTGTAGTCCCCTGTCCCTGTTTAAATGGTTCATAGTGTAACCTGGAGCATGAACCTAAAAGAAACTTAAGGATGACAGCAGATGAGGAATGCAAAATCTGTCTAGGCTGGCTCCTCTTTGAACATTAGACAGAGATAGATGCATGCTCTCTTGAGAGAGATTTGTCTTTATTAATCTTCTAAGTGTGTGAGCACATGCTGTCTCATGCCAAGTAAGCTTCTTAAGAAGAATAGCATCTTGTATACTACTCCCAGGGGACAATGGAAGGAAATGGGGGACTTCTATGAAGTCAGCAGACACTCTCTTACAATGGGACACACACAGGAGGAGGGTAATCAAACAAAGGTGCACAAGGGGAACACGGTATTTCAAGAACATTACTGACTGAGCCTACAGTGGCCTTGGGACTGATAACCACAGCCCCATGTGGTGGGAAGAGTTCCGTTCTCAGGATCTGAAGGAGTCATTCACAGCTCTAGTTTCCTGGATTTAGAGAAGAAGCTCTGTTTTATTCTCAATACATCAAGGCCTTAGGCAAAGCTCCCAAGGCCGGGCCCCAGGCTGTTACTGGCTCTCCCAGAATGTTGTTACTGGTTCTCTCAAGAATGTTCCTCCTCACTGCCTGAAGGCCTAAATGAAAACCTTGCTTGACCAGGCCAGTCCTTAACACAACAGTGTTTTACTTGTCAAATACTTCTCACCTAGGTCAGTGTCCATCTCTCAGAACTATGCTTTTCTCAAGAAAAAAACTGGAACTTTAAGGCACACGGGACTTGACTAGGTTGTGACCCTGTAATGCCTCCATGTGCAGCTTGTTAGAGGACTATTCTTTGATATGGGTGGGGATGGGCCTAGTGATTGGTTGGTGGTAGGGAGTGTCTTCTTTGTAATGGTTTGGAGCCAAATGTCTGGACAATCCTGGTGAAAAAAATGTGTATCCTAGCATCCTTATCTCTACCAGGCCTGGTTGGGGGCGGTTTTTGATTTGTTTTCTTTTGTTTTGATTTTGATTTTTTTCAAGACAGGATTTCTCTGTGTAACGACCCTGGCTTTCCTGGAACTCTTTAAACCAGGCTGGCCTCAAACTCACAGAGATTCATTTTCCTCTACCTCCCCAGTGCTGGGATTAAAGGCACGCGCCCAGCAACACCCAGCTATTTTGGGGTGTTTTAGAGGCAGTCCTCCCTCAGCTAAATTCTACTTAGTGAGACTTACTACCTACCAGGCATTAGTAAACCCTTTATATCACCAATTCTACTCTTCTACATCACAGCTAAGTAGTGGAGTGCTACCCAACACAAGAGATGCCTTTTATAATCTCCACAAAATTAATTGTAAAAGGACCTTACACGGAGAAGTTAAATGAAAAGGGCTCAACGTCTAGAAGATACTGGAGAAACTAGAGGTCTCACCAAGTTTGGCAATCTGTCTTCCATGGATGCACCAAAAGCACATTGTTGTTGATTGCAAATATGTTTCTACACACAGCTCCCTGCTCTCAATGCTCTACAAAGATGCACCCCACACAGCAAGGTTATTCAGAGGCCGGTACCTGGATCCAGGAAGTTGCAGAGAACACGTGGGAACTCACAGGACAGGCAACCTGCCTGCAGATTCCCACCCAGCCCCAGGGAGGACCCGCCACCCCGGCTCCTGCACCTCCCCATCTGCTCCTCCCCATCTGGGAACAGCAGCCCCTCGCTCGCTCACCGTATCGTTGCTTCCCAGCTCGCCCATGGCCCCCTCACAGCTCCCTGCAGCAGCACTGACAGCGCAGCACAGGTAAACACTGGCTCCAGCTATTCTTCAGCGCCAAGCCTGCAGCCTGGCTCCCGGAAGGGCCCTGCACCACTTCTGACTGTCAGTTTCGACCTGGAGGCCCTGATTGGCTAGTGAGGTCTGGATGACATGAGTACCGCCCTTAGGGTTTCAGGGTCCTTAAAGGCACAGCACAAAGGTTTTGTCTCCGCCTTCCACCCTATGCCCAGAGGTTTTCTAGATCTGTAGAGATTTGCATTTCAATAGCGCGCTGCCCTCCTGTCTTCCAGCATTCCACAGGCACTTCCCATTCTTCCTTCGGAAAACCATGGGACTAGTTTGCACAGCCCTTTCCTCAATGTGGAATTGAGGAGTTGAGTAATTCCTGTCCCATAGGTGGAAGTGTGCCCAGAATATTAACAATTGTAAAGACAGATTTAAGGACACAAAAGGAGATGTTTGGTCTGTGGCTTCACACTGAGGTCAGGCGAAGGTACTTTTTACCTGTTAATCACAGGCGCTGCAGAGAACTAGGAGAAAAATTCAGGAACCAAATAAAAAACATAATGACAAACCTGTCTCCCACCAGAAGACCGAATAACAGTGGCTCCATTGCTTTCGAAGTTGTCTTCCGGAATTCAGGGCAAACTCTTGATAAATGAATAATAATAAAAAGTGTAGTCTTCAGGGTAAATTAAATACTTAGAGAATAACGGAGCTAGGAAGAATGTCTTTATGAGTACTATTGTTAACCAGCACATCTTCCTCAGTGGGCAGGCAAAAAAACAAAACAAACAAAAAAACACGGATGCATATTTCAAGGTCCTCTACATGAGCAGGACTGGTAAAAATCAATCTCCCCGTGTACAAAGAAAGTGGATTTATTACAATGTCTCACAAGCTGTGGTCCAGCTAGTTCAAGAGCAGCTGTCTACCAATGGAAACTTGAGGACTCCAGTAGTTAGTTGTTCAGTCCATGAGGCTGGATGTCTCAGCTGGTCTTCAGTGTACACCAAAATTCCAAACAAGTAGGCTGTAATGCTAGTAAAGGAATGAACTTGGTAGGTAGAGCTGGGGCAAGCAGGCAAAGAGAGAGCTTGCTTCTTCTACATCCTTTATATATGTAGGCTGCTACCTGAAGGTGTGATCCAGGTTAAAGGTGGATCTCATTCTTTCTTTGATGGTTTTTTGGTGTTTTCCAGATCTCTGACAGCACTGTAGAGAATTCTGTTCTTTCCTTTTTCTAACTTCTTTTTTAAATTTTAGTTGTATGCTGTTTTTCCTGAATGTGTCACTGTACAGTACCTACAGAAACCAGAAGAAAGCAGATAATGCCTGGGACTGGAGTTACAGCAAATGGTTAGCTACCATGTGGGTTCTGGGAATGGAACCTGGGTCTTACACTATAACAATACCCAGTGCTCTTTTATTGAAAATTCTTCCTATACATTTTTAATTAGAACATATTACATCAATATTTTTGTCCTCCTTCCATTCCTTTCCATGTTAAGTATGTATGAATAAGTATCCTGAAATATATGAATACACCCTGCTGAGTCCATTGTTGTTATTTGTAAGTACATGTTTTAAGGGCTGACCATGCTGTACTTAGGGAGCTCATCTCTGCCCAAGGATACTTCTGTCACCTGAAGGACAATTCTACTTTTTAATCAGCATCAGGGGCTGTCTTGACCCTGACTAGGCTGCCTTGTACAGGAAACACAATCAAGAACAGAAATTTTGTATTGGAAAATAGTTTAGCAGTTAATAGTATTGAAGAACTTCCACAGTGCTCAGCTTCCATTCCCAGTACATATAGAAGCTCACTACTATTTGTACCTTCAGTGCCAGGGGTTCTGACACTATCTCCTGGCTTCCCTGGTCATGAGTCATGAATAGAGTACAAAGACATATAAAATAATGACCGATATTAATTTATTTTTTTTAAAAAGTCCACAAGAAAAACCATTACAATATGTCTTGAGCCCTTACCAGGTTTTGACCTGGGAGGAATGACAGACTCAGCGAGTTGGTTTTGAGTATGTAAGTTTTACTTCACACTTATGTCAAAGTAACACACAAGCATAAACAAACAATCCTAGGAACCACAGGCTCATATAGCAGGGGGTATGTAAGAAGCCTTGTAACCAGGCAGGCAAAGGCCTGGCTGAAGAGAGATTAAAAAGAAAGGGAGTATTGGCCCACTACCCAGCCATTGTAGATAAGAGTGAGAATGTGTGGAGTGTTGCAAAGTGTGATTAGCAAGATTTAGCAAACTATTTAAGGGCCAGCTCAGAACTGGGAACTTTAAAGTGTACCATGCATGACTCTACGTACTGGAGTTCTCCTCCACTAACATGAAACAACCAGTCCATCAAGCTGAGTCCTGGGCCCCGGACCTGAGGGCTACTGCAGGAGAGGTACCCTGTCTCGAGCCCTTACCAGGTTTTGACCTGGGAGGAATGACAAACTTGTTCTGAACCCGATTCCATGACACCAGGCCCTCAGGAGACCCGACAGCCTGAATCCAGAGGAACAGAAGTCTCGAGCCCGAACCTGCAGGCAGCTGCAGGAGAGGTACCCGCCCCTGCTATGAGCCTATTGTCTGTGGTTCTTAGGATTGTTTGCTTATGCTTGCGTGTTACTTTGACATAAGTATGAAGTAAAACTTATATACTCAAAACCAACTCACTGAGTTTATCATTCCTCCCAGGTCAAAACCTGGTAAGGGCTGGAGACAGGGTACCTCTCCTGCAGCGGCCCTCAGGTTTGGGCCCGGGACTCAGTTTAATGGACTGGTTGTTTCAGGTTAGAAGAGGAGAGCCCCAGGACATAGAGTCGTGGTACACTCTAAAATGCCCAGTTCTGAGCTGGTCCCTTAAATAGCTTGCTAAATCTTGCTACATACACCACACATTCTCACTCTTATCTCCAATGGCCAGGTAGTGGGCCTATACTCCCTTTTAATCTTTCTTCAGCCAGGCCTTTGCCGGCCTAGTTGTAAGCATTTGTCTTCATCTCCCTCCAGCCAGGCCTTTACCTGCCTGGTTACAGGCTCCTCACACAACAATAACAATAACATAAAATATTTTGGAGTAACCCTAACCAAAAAAGTAAAAGACCTGTATGACAAGAACTTTCAGTCTTTAAAGAAAGAAACTAAAGAAGATATCAGAAAATGGAAAGATCTCCCATGCTCTTGGATAGGTAGGATCAACATAGTAAAAATAGTAACCTTACCAAAAGTAATCTACAGATTCAATGCAATCCCCATCAAAATCCCAGCACAATTCTTCACAGACCTTGAAAGAACAATACTCAACTTAATATGGAAAAACAAAAAACCCTGGATAGCCAAAGCAACCTTGTATAACCAAGGAACTTCCAGGGGCATCACCATTCCTGACTTTAAACTCTATTATAGAGCTATAGCAATGAAAATAGCTTGGTATTGGCACAAAAACAGACAGGTAGACACAATGGAATCAAATTGAAGACACTGACATTAATCCACACACCTGTGAACACCTAATTTTTTTTTTTACAAAGAAGCTAAAATTATACAATGGAAAAAAGAAAGCATCTCCAACTAATGGTGTTGGCATAACTGGATGCTGGTATGTAGAAGATTGCAGATAGATCCATATCTATCGACATGCACTAAACTCAAGTCCAAATGGATCATAGGCCTCACTATAAATCAAGCCACACTGAACCTCTTAGAAGAGAAAGTGGGAAGTACCCTTCAATGCAGTGGCACAGGAGACTACTTCCTGAACATAATACCAGTAGCACAGACACTGAGATTGACAACTAATAAATAGGACCTCCTGAAACTGAGAAGCTTCTGTAAGGCAAAAGGCACAGTCAGAAAAATAAAACAGCAGCCTACAGAATGGGAAAAGATCTTCACCAACCCCACATCTGACAGAGGTCTGATCTCTAAAATATACAAAGAACTCAAAAATCTAGACATCCAAGTACCAAATAATCCAATTTAAAAATGGGGTACATATCTAAACAGAGAATTCTCAACAGAACAATCTCAAATGGTGGAAAGACACTTAAGGAAGTGCTCAACATCTTCAGTCATCAAGGAAATGCAAAGCAAAACAACTCTGGATTCCATCTTATAACAATCAGAATGGCTAAGATCAAAAACACCAAGGACAGCTTATGCTGGAGAGGATGTGGAGAAAGGGGAACACTCCTCCATTGCTGGTGGAGTGCAAACTTGTACAGCCACTGTGAAAAATCCATATGGCAATTTCTCAGAAAATTAGGGATCAACCTATCTCAAGACCCTGCAATACCACTCTTGGGCACATACCCAAAGGAGGCACATTCACACCACAAGGGAATTTGCTCAAATATGTTCATAGCAACATTATTTGTAATAGCCAGATCTTGGAAAGAACCAAGATGTCCAACAGAAGAATGTATAAAGAAAATGTGATATATTTAACATCCTAAAATTTGCAGGCAAATGGACAGAACTAGAAAAAAATCCATCCTGAGTGAGGTAACCCAAACCCCAAAAGACAAATACAGTATGTACTCACTCATAAGTGGATACCAGACATAAAGCAAAAGATACCCAGCCTAAAATCAACAACCCCAGAGAAGTGGGAACCCTTTGCCAGAAACAGATGGAAGCAGATGCAGAAATCCACAATTAACCATTGGGCCAAGCTCTTGGAGTACAACTGAAATGAGGTAGGAGTGATAATACGAACAAAGGAGTCAAGACCATGATGGGGAAACCCACAGAATCAGCTGACCGAGCTAGTGAGAGATCACTGAATCAGATCTGACAAATGGGGAACCTGCATAATACTGGACTGGATTCCCTTAATATAGATGACAATGGTGTGGCTGGGACAATATATGAGGCCACTGGTGGTGGGTCCAAGATCCGACTCTAATGCATAAACTGACTTGGTAGAGTCCATTCTATATGGAGAAATACCTTGCTCAGCCTAGACACAGGGGTATGGGGGTAGAGAGGTGCCTTGGTCCTGCCTCAATGAGATGATGGGACAGACTTAATAGACTTCCTAGGGGAGGCCTTACCCTTTCTAAGG